TCCGTCGTGCTGCTCGAGGGAGCGCTCGCGCACGCAGTCCCAGCACGTCCAGCTGTCCGAGGACCCGCCGAGGTCGTTGTGGTGGCGCCGGATGCACTCCTTGTGCGCCGCGCGCGCGCAGTACGCGCAGCACAGCAACGAGCCCTCGTCGCCGTAGCAGACCATGCACTCGTCCTCGTGGTCTCGGCGCGTCAGCCGCCGCGGCGCGACGATCTCCTCCATGGTCTTCGGCGGCGACAGCGTCGACCCGTCCTTCCGGCCGTGGACGCAGGGCTCGCGGAAGCAGGGCTCGTTCTCCGAGGAGAGCAGGTAGCACAAGCAGTGCTGCGCGACGTGGGACTCCTCCTTGAGGTGGCTCCGGAACTCGCCGGAGCGGAAGCGCTCCTCCGCGTCGATCTGGTTGTAGAGCCTCTCCTGGATGGACACGGAGATCGAGAAGGAGCACGCCGCGACGACGCTCCGGAGGAGGTCGTAGACGACGAATCCGAGGTCCCTGCATTTCACGCACGTGCACAGCTCCGCCGTCAGCTTCGCATAGCCCGGGCCTGCGAGCAGCCCACGAAAGTGCGCCTCGGAGCTCCGCCGAAGGCCCGCGTCGGCGAGGCGTCGATTGAGCCGCTTCAACAGCCGGGGCACGCCCTCCTTGAGGAACCACTTCGTCTTCCGCCGGGCCGTGCTCGCGCCGCCGTCGGCCTGCACGACGACGGAGGGGTCCCGCAGGAACGCCGCCGTCAAAGCCGCGCGCTCGATGCCGATCCGCGTCCAGCCGCTCCGCGAAATCACGTCGCGCCGCGCGCCGGGGAACCGGTCCATCGCGAGATTCGCCGCCGTCTGCACGTCGTGCTTCGTGCAGATGAGCGAGTCCGCGTGGCGCACGCGGTCCGCCGGCACGCGGTCCTCGACGAAGCAGATCAGCCGGCCGGAGCCCGTCGTCGGGAGAGGTCGCACGTCGAAGCAGCCGACCTCCGACACCGCGACGCAGACGCCGCGGCGCCAGTAGTCGCCACGCCTAACCCCCTGCGGGAACTGCAGGACCAACACGTCCGAGCCCGTGGTAACGGGGACCACGCGGCTGACGAACGCGCGGATCTGGTCCCGCCAGCCGAAGTCCCGCATCCGAGGCACGATCGCGAGCGACAGCACCTGGGTCGCCGCCGTGTAGTCGCCCACCTGCGTGTGGTTCTGCCACGCCGTCGCGATGTTGTCCTTGAGCGCCACGAGCACGCGCTCGGACGCGCCGCGGACGCGCCGCCGCTTCGCCATCGACGCGTCGAACGCGCCGAAGACGACCTCGAGGCGCTCCGCGTCGCCGCCCGAGAGCAGGTCGGCGAGGCCATCGAAGCACCGCATCGCCGCCCGAATGTAATCCGCCTGACGCCTCGACGTGTCGTCGAGCGCCGACGGCGACGTCAGGAGCGCGTCGAACGAGCGGATTTTCGTCAGCGCGCCGCCGTCGCCGCTCGGCATGAGGAAGTCGACGATCCCGGACAGGGACCGCTGCATCAGAGCGTCGCGCTCGGCGAGGGCCGTCTCGGAGACGACGCGTTCCGCATCCGCGCAGCCCTCGGCCCGTTCGCGCTTCGTCTGTTCGCGTTCGCGGCCGCGCTCCGCCTCCACGGCGACCTCTCGGGCGCGGGCCACGTCCGCCTCGAGCGCAGCGCGATCGTGCGCGCGGTCGCGCGCCGCCTGGTCGCGCACGGCCAGGGCGTCGGCGTCGCGCTCCTCGGCGCCCGCGAGGACGCCGGAGGTGTAGGAAGTCTCCGCGAGGGCCGCCGCCCCGGCCTCCGTGCGGACGGCGTCGCCTCGGGCGCGACTGGCGTCGCGCAGAGCCGCTCGTCGTCGCTCGTGGGCTAGTGCCAGACGCGCGGACTCCTCTTTCTCCGCCTCGGCGAGCGAGTCCCGCTCGCGTCGCACGCGCTCAAGCTCTCGCGTTTTCGTGCGCAGCGCCGTCTCCGCGGCGATCGCGCGGTCCGTCGCCGACGGCTCCGAGGGCGCCGCGCCGAGCGAGCGCTCCGTGCCGCCGGGAGCCGCCGCGCCTCGCCTTGGGCGGCGCGCGTTCTCGACGTCGAGCACGAGCCGCGACTCGCCGACGTCGCGGCCGACGCGGCCGCCGACGGCGTACTGGACGTCGTAGACGACGCCGGCGCCGGCGACGACGCGCGACGAGAGGACCGTCGCCGACCCGCCGTCGTCCCGGCGGCCCGCCACGACGAGGGGCACGGCCGCGACGGAGACCGCGGCGAAGTTCGGGAACTCCGCGGCGTCCGCCTGAGGTAGCGCGCGCGCCTCCTCGAGGGCGAGCGCGTCGGCCTTGTCGCGCGCCGCCGCCGCCGCCGCCGACTCGCCGCGCGCGTGGACGAGCTCGCGCATGGCGACGACCGCGCCGGGGACGTGGACGCCGCCGGGGATCCTCAGAGC